AAAAAAAAAAAAAAGGGACGGTGGTGATGGCGGTGATCACGATCACGATCTAGGAATTCCTCTCTGTTTCTCTTGGGGGCGGGGGAGGCAGATAATCCGGCTTTTTCTGCCTCGGGTCCCAGGACCAAAAGGGGAAAGGCACGCTGCGCGGTACCGATGGGATGCGCAGAGGTCGGGGCTCCTGGGCCCCTGCCCACCTCCCTCGCCCCCTGCCGCTGTGCCCCCGGTCCCGACGCCGGGAGCTGCGGGGGCTCCCGGGGGCAGGCGAGCCCCGAGCCCGAGGCTCCCCTTGCCGGTTGGGCGAGCGCGCGGGCGGCACCCGGGTCAGCTGCTCCGCCACCCCACGCGGCCGCCCCGCCCCTGCCCGGATCTTATAAGCCTCTCCCTCCGCCTCCCGACGGCCGAACTGCCCGCTGCCCTCCCGGCCAGGCGCCCCCTGCAGCATGATCTGGAACACCAATCTGCGCTGGCGGCTGCCGGTCACCTGCCTGCTCCTGCAGGTGGCCCTGGTGGTCCTCTTCGGCGTGTTCGTGCGCTACGACCTCGATGCCGACCCCCACTGGATCGGCCGTCAGGGGGATGAGAACACCACCAGCGACATGGAGAACGAATTCTACTACCGCTACCCGAGTAAGTCCGGCCACCCCGCAGGCCCCCCAGAGGCGGACGGGCAGGTCCCCCACCCTGCTCAGAGCCCTGCCTGCCGCACCTGTGCAGCCTGCTGCTCGGGAACAGGGGGCGGGGGTCCTAGAGGAGGAGAAGCTGCCCGCAGCCCGCTGGCCCTCCCCACGCAGCCTCCCCACGCGGCACCTGCCAGCCCCTGGAGGGCACGCTTGACAAATGGCCACATGTGCACCAACTCTTCCCTGTGTTGAAGCGACAGGGAAAGCTCGCCAGGGTGAGCTCACTCCAGGTGCCATCAGAGGCCCCCAACCTCCCCATCAGAGAGCCTTACTTGTCCTTGAAAGACCCAAGTCCCATCTCAGTCACCAACCAGGGGGTGACCCTGGCTCCCTTGTCCAGCTGTGCCCGTACTGGCCACTTAAGGAGGCAGGTCCGATGTCAAGGGCTGCAGGGATGGCTCACTGACTTGCCAGTCCTGCTATGGGGAGAAGCATATGGGACCCAGGCACCTAACCCTCATCTGGCCTGGAAGGGAAGAAAGAACAGCCCTCATTCTCTGGTATCTGCAGTGCCGGGGTTAAGAGCATGCCCTTGGAATCACCAGACCTCGCTCCTATCATGGTTCTGCCATTAACCAGGGGGATAAGCCTTAGGAAAACATCAACCTCCCTGAAACTCTGTCACATCTGTCCAGCCACATCTGTCCAGCGGGGGATAATAATAGCACCTCGCGTGCAGGCATGGGGTGAAGCTGGGGTGAGACAGGGCACGGGAAGTTCTGGCACAGTGCTGGGCTGGGCATGGAACCCGCACTTCCTAATGAAGCAGTTACTGGAGGTGGACAAAACACAGATGCCCTAGGACTCAGGAGCCGGAAGAACTGGTCCAAGGTCACTCAGGTTGGTCCAACCTCCAGACCCCTCAGCCCGAGGCTCTTCCCATGCCCTTGCGTTTTCTGATTTTGGACACTATCTACCAGCAGCCAATGACAATCATCCCAACGGTTGGTGCGCACAGAGTCATGGACTGTTAGTTTCCACGGGGACCATAAAGCTCACGCGCAACAGCCACCTAGGCCGGCTGGCGTTCCCTCCATGGCTTGAAAACCCTCAGCGAGGGGAGCCTTTGCCTCCAGAAATAACATTTCACTTAGCTCCAAATAAATAACTGCATACATGGAGGATGACAGCCTGCATGAAAAAAGACAAGAGTGGGGGGCGGGGGTGCCAACTCAGTGGAGCCGGCCATATTAAATGGCTGCCAGAAAGCGAATGCCGTCACAGGTTACATTAATAGAAATACGGCGCTTAGCAGAAGGGAGGTTATGGAAGAGGAGTGTGCCCTGTGCTGGTCGAAACCACAGCCTCGACTGGGCTCCACTCAGAGTTGTATTTTAAGAGACCATGACAGCTGTGGCCTTAGAATTAAGACTCCAAATCCACTCTTCACTGCCCACCTTTACTCTCCTTGGACAGATCTGGCAAACGGAGAGGCAGGACAGCTTGAGATCCTCCTTTGCCTGTTCTACTTCACTCTGGCTCTTGCTTATCTCTCGGCCATAACCAGCCCTTCAGCAAAGCACAGGGGACAAGTTCTCCCATGGGCATTCATAGGTCCTTGAGGGGTCCAGACAGTGGAAGGTCTCAAAGCCCTAAAATAGGAGCTACAGAGCCTCCCCAGAGAGGGTTGCGGTCCTCACATCTCCCCAGCTCCTATTCCCCACTCCATCCACACCCACCTTCCATGCCCCACCGTCATCAATTCACCCAACAACCATTTATCCATAGGGTGGCCACGTAATTTGTCAACTAGTGACACTTATGAGAGTGAGGGAGTGGAGAGGTTGCGCTCATAGTAATTCACCAGACCAGAGACGTAAACCACAACCATCCCAACAGACCAAGACTCAAGGCCGTTGTGGATGAACAAGTTACACATCCTTGCTTTCTGACCCCGAAGGGCTCCCAGACTCATGGAGGGCACCCCAGTGCCTTGTCCTCAGTGATGTCAGGCTCTCTGGGCAGAAGAGATCTGAGACAGCTTCCTGGAAGGTGGTGGGATGGTGAGGAGGGGTGAGGCAGGGCAGCTACGCCAGGAGCAGGTGAGTGGTGCAGAGTGGCCCAGCGGTAGGGTTTGTGAAAGGGTAGGAGGGAAGCTGCTAAGGGGGATGAGACAGCCCCAGGCACCAAGGAGGGCTTGAGTTTCTCCTGCTAGTTCCCCTTGGCCATCAACAGGGAGTGACAGAGAGGAGAGGAGTAGAGGGAGAGATGGCCGGCCTCCGGACTCCAGTCACAACAGCTCAAGCCACCAGACGTGCGTTCCCTCCTTTGACCTGCCCCCCCCCCCAACCCTGC